CAACGCTTTGATCAACAAGGCTTTCTATTCCCTGAGGGCTTTGCAAAAGGTATTCATAGCTCTTGGGTCTGGAAGATGAAAGGACTCTCACAGATACCTGCAGTGACCAGCACCTGGAACTGGACTACTTGAGCTTGTTATCCAAAAGCAGCAAAACCAACTGATTCATGGGAAGCAAACGATAACACACTCCACGTGTTACCAGAGTGCACAAATAGCTCAGAGGCACGTTGGTGCCTAATTATGTGATGTGGAGATGTACAAAAATACCAAAGCAGCGATTGCTTTGGAGAAGAGTTTGACACTTGTTAGTCATAAGGGGATTTAAAAATCCCAACATATGCCTCAAGGCCTTTGAAAATTGGGCCCAAAGTGCCTACTTGAGATCTTGTTGAGAAACAACACAGCCAACTTCTGTGAGCAAGTCTCCTGGCACAGACAACACTTTGACTATGCAAATCAGCAGACAAATCATTGTGTTTTGCCTGTAAAATGAGGGAGTTCAGACTATTCATCTGTTCACAGGCTCGTATCAAACTCTGTATTGGAGCTCACAAGCCATACACAACCTCCACCATCTTACTGCAAAGTGATACTGTGAAAGGCAAGGCGGCATTCATTCTTCTTCAATATTAACTTATTTTTCCAAGAGGAAAACAAACCCTGGCTAGTACCAGTTACCTAGATAAAAAAGGAAAACCCCTACAACTCCTTTTCTTCCCTTTTTCTAACCAATTCATCTACCCCACGTCAAGAGTGATCTTGAAGAAAATTCCTGGCATATTTCACGTCAAAAAACTGAATAATAATCATGACTTTTGAAAGTGCTTACTAGACTAGTCTATGCATTTGAGTATTTTCTTTCACCATTTAGTCCAGTCTTCTATGGGAGTACATCATACCCTTTAATTAAACATTCTTGAGTACTGGGATTTTATCTCACAGATACACCGCACCCTGCTTGTAAAAATTCCATCTCAGGCAGCCAAAGTGCTTGACTTATTCCAAAGATGAGTTATTAATTAGAATATCTGTAGACCCTATATTTATAAGCTGGTGCCATCCCTCTCCAGGGAGCCCAAACTTTTATCTGCCAGATTACTTACCTGCAGCTGAAACAGAGCCATCGCTGTCTGGAATGTAATCCCCATCTTGTGCAACTCCTCACCAACACTCTTTAAAATGAAGACTGGGAGACGGGTCCAAATGGAGGACGCTTTTAAGACATTCTGGATGTAAATCCCTTGAATTAAATTTACCTCACTTAAAATATGGTGGTAGCTATCTAACTCTGTGGGTTTCCTAAAATCCCCATTCACTTCATCTTGCTTCATTCAGAGAAGTCCTCACCCTAGTCATGAACCTCTGCAAACAGCGAGGTGCCAGCAGGATGCTAAAAGGCATGATTTCGCTCCCCAAAGTGGTCCTAGGTTTCACCCTCACCTGGCACAGCATGCAGCTTCGTAATGCCCAGTGCCAGCTGGGTCACCGGGTCCCATTCTGTCTCAGAGAGGGGAGTACCCCAGTCTGAAATCACCGAGGGCAACGACAACTCACAAAATACTTTCCCAAGCCAAGGGGCAAAAACTGGTGCCAGCCGTGAGCTCACCAGCACCGCTCCCTGGCACTGCTCGCTTGCCAATCTTCTGCAGCATTTTTAGCTCACTTAGGTGCACCAGCTCATCCCACTCTCCAAACGTTTAGCAATCGAGAACAGCAATAGCTTGGGGCTGCCACGGCAGCCAAACACCCAAACAGGCAAAGCAGAAATCTGTGAGAGATGAATATTGCGTCACTGCGCTCATTAGCCCTCACAGGCAACTTGAAGCACTCAAAACCATATCGTTCCTAAGTGCAGAAAGGAGGGTGCAGCCATCCCACAGAAGGAAATCCACAGGAAATCCTGCTGGCATGAAATATGCCTGGGCGACAGCCCACGGGAGCCTCCAGTGAGAAAGCCCCATGCCGATGATGGAGAGATGATAAGGAGCTAGTGGGGCCTTCCAGCACTGAATCAGGGCAAGATTCCACTCTCGCAGGCAGCCACCAGCACCTGCCAGTCTTGCCCCTTCCGCGGGTCAGTATAAACCCCCCTGGCAGCCTGCCATGCTCAGCACTGCCTGCCCTTTCCCAGGCTCAGGTTTGGGAGAGGAGAATAATCCCATACATCAACAGGCATTCAGCATGCTGCTGGCTCCCTTTTTGCACTAAGCTCTTCAGCTTTACATGTGGCCCTCTCCAGCTCCAGAGAAAAGTCACCAGCCTGCAGGAGACACTCGAGCCAAGGAAAAAAAAATGGTCTCCAACCCCGGATTTCATGTCACACTCATGAGAGATTCCTGCCATCCTACACCACCACTCTCCTTGTCCAACACGCTTGCCTTGAAACCCTTGATTGTTGGACCTTCCACCTCTTACAAGAAAAGATGGAGCAGCAGCAAGGAAGCTAACATCTCCTGGGAAAAAGAAAAAAAAAAAAAAGATAAACATGCTCCGGCTACAGAGAAAGCAACGTCCTGGCAATTTTGCTGGGGAACTGTGCATTGAGCAGTGGATGCTTTTTGGACTTCTTCTCTGCCTTAGCATGTCCTACAGATACGTGGAAGTACTTGCATAGAAAATCTCCTGGTTTGAGAAGCAAGATGCTAGTGAGACGGGGTTTGAAATGGATCGGATTCTCCTCTTGTCGAATGTAAGGGGGAAGAGCTTTAACAAAAGCAGAATTTAAGCAAGTTCCCCCAAAGCAGTGACCTAAGAAAGGCCTGACTGCCCACACAGGGCAAAAAAATAACAGAACAGGGTAATGCAAGAGGTCAGAGGAGTTTTATGAGGGGTTTTCCTGAGTCAACACAATTGAAAACACCAGAAAATATTAGAGGGAGAAACTTGATAGAGGGAGAAACAGAATCTCTAACCTGAAGATGCTCAGATACTGTTTGTGCTTACATCTGGGTGTGAACTTTGAAGACTGGGCTCCTTTCTGTGTAACACAGTGGACTGAATCAAACCTAACCCAAACACCTGCAACATCATGATTCAGAGATGCGTTTTACAGCTTTTGCCAGTCACCAATTTATCAAAAGTTACTAGATCTCCTCCTCCTCATTTATTTATAAGTACTCCTGTTTTAAAGTACTTACTATTTCTCTTATTAAAAAGTATTTATAAGTATGTACTTTATTTTTGGAAGTACTTTTCATCTATTCGTCCAACTCTGGTCTAAGTCAGAAGCTTTTAAATATTTCCTCAAACAGATAACTGGCCGGGATGGCAATGTCAGCATGGAGAAGCTTTTTCTCTTTATGTTTCTGTTCTTTTTGGAGAAAAGGATGTTCAGGTTGTAATAAAAGGACTGAAAAATACATTAATCCTTATTAAACTGGTAGAGCCAATTGACAGGGCTAGGACTGGCTGCTTCCTCTCCTCTCTCTTCATGCCCTTCCGCAGTTTCCTCTCCTCTCCTCTTTTCTGATACTTGTTTGTGTTTGGGAGCAGCACGCTCACTCCTGACAGACTGGGACAGGGGATGAGAGGGGAAATGTCTGGACGCGTTTAGTCCAATTAAGTGTTGGCATCACATTCAGTCTTTCCAAAAAGCACGTAGGAACCTTTAAACGTCAGGCTGGCCGCTGCAAATTGATGCCTCCATATTTACATTTCCTTGCATCAAGCCACAAAAGAGTAGGTATTAATTGTCATCAGACATGTCTGCCACAAACCCCTCTTTAATATCATTCACAAATGTTCTGCTAAAACCTTTCGTCTTTCAGCAGATGACTTCCATAATCCCGTGTCACTGGTGAGTTTTGGCAGAGCTAAAGAGCAAACTGCGTTTGCTGCTGACAACTCCCCTCGCTTTCCTTTTTCAGCTGCTGCAGCAGCACATAAATGCTGCGGCAGCATTCCCTGCCAGTGTCATCTCACTCACATCGTTCCTCCGAACGACGTGTTTGCTAACAAGGTTTTACAGCAAATAAACAAATGCGCACAAGACCTACACGTGTGGTCTGTACATCATCTTGAGCCACCCGGTCTTTCAACGAGCCACTGCTCCGGCAGGAAGAGTCAGTTGTGGCATGAACCCAAGCGGTGTCTCCCTCCCTCCCTCCCACAGGCAGTGCCTTGACACCCGTGGGTCCCCTGGTGTCCAGGCAGCGATAAAACCTGGGCTCTGCTGCACAGAGGGTCACAACGCTGACAGAAGGCACTGAAAGTTTAACTTCGGGGTGAGAAAGCTGCTGAAGAGGGACAGGCAGTTGGCTCACCCTCGCCACTTTTTGTTTTGTTTTGTTTTAAACAACTAAATCTTGTTCTTCCCACTGCTGAGAAAAGTCCTTTAGAAATGAATGAGACTAGTCATATAAATGAATTAAGGGGCAGTTTACAGTGTTACTACATCAAATGCTTTCTATACAGTAACTGAAGAGTTTGGTAGAATTAATGAAACTAGATTCAGACCTCAGATGCTTTCCAGAGTGGCTAGAAGGGTTTAAGGAACGAACCAGAAGAAACTCAAAAAGCCTCACTTTGCTCAGCATTCACTGCAACATCCAAACCAGCAACATACTTCCACATTACTGCTACAGCTCTGCCCTCCAACATGTGTTCATAGCTCTCATTAAATCCAACTGCTAGTTAAGGACTAAATGTACTGAGGCACGTCCCCAGCTGATTTCAGTATAAACTACATGTCTGGAATCTGACTGCACAGATAGGTCCTCGGTCACCGCTTGCCAGCTGAACACTTACGAAGTCATACATGGACAGAGCAGCAATCCGCTTGCGCCGTATTCACATTGCTAAGAGCAAGTGGATGCTCTTGGCTTGTTAATAAAGGCTTGGTCTGTCCAGTTTAAAATATGCTCTAAGGTGCACTCACACGCAGTAATCTTTGAAGACAGGAAAAATCTACCGTCACATTTTGGTTTTGGAGAAGAAAGGGTGCTCACCACAGAGCGTCAAGATAAACAACCTGCTCTGATCGTTACACGTTTTGGTACCTGCACAATAGGGTGGCCTCCCGCAGATGCCTTCACAGCCCCTCGACTGCCTTCCGTCTCGTAATGAGCTCGGTGGTGGGATTTCGGCTGCACTTCAATACGCAGTTCATAAGGTCCTGAGTGAGATGGCAGCTGCCAATCAAGGGCAGGCAGGGATGGGCTATAATGGAAAGGAAAACGTATTAAAAATTAACAGGTACACTATCATAAACCACAAGCATCCAGCACTATTACTTTAGAGACTGTGTTTCGCAGTTCATTCTTCACCATCTTACATTTAAAATTTCATCAATATGGATAATGCCATGACAGAAGTAATTTAGAAGGTAATGGTTATTTTATGAAGATTTATGGGTTGAGCATATCTGATGGCCCAGATGATATCTGATTTGTAAACAAAATGGAAAAATGTTAAGACACAGCTTACAAATATCTTAATATATTGATTCTTGATCCAAACAGAGAAAGGTAGGCAGAAAGATGCAGAGGAATTTAAGGAAGAGGGTATCTGCTGTGAAAGTGAATGCCAAAACAGCTCTGAAGGAGTTCTGCATTTAATGAATCTAATGGATTTCAACAAATCTTCTCAGTTTACAGGGGGCGGAAAGAAGGAAAAAAAAGCCATTTCCCAGCTTCCTTCCCAACACAAAACACGTCAGAGAGTTTCAAAGCAAAGCCAATCTCTTTCTCATTCATGCACTGCAAGGGAGCAAGCTCTGAATTCAGAAACTGCTTACAAATCCTACTACCAATGATGCACAAGCTCAAAGAAAATCCAGCTTATTCTTCTGGACATGTATTGACTCTGCAATTAACTAAAATATTAAGGACTCATTACCATCAGACAAGCAAGCAGACCCAAGAGCATGCGATGGTAGAGAAGTGTCATTCTTAGAAACCTACTTCCAGTGTAAAGCCACACTTGAAAATAGTCAGGACAGCTTGGCTGTGAGAAATGACAAGTTGATGCTTTGTTTGAAAAAAAAAAAGAAAAAAGAAACAAGCACTGTAGAAACAGTAGGCCTGAGACAAATTTATTGATCTTAAAATCGAAGCAAAAAGCTTCACGATGAAAACACTAATTTTATGTCTAGTGTATATTCCTCCCTTTGGTGAATTCTCCTCACTAGAGGAACTTCAAAAGCCTTTAGAAGTAGCTAAACGGCACAACAATATACTACCCTGCCCTCTTACATCAAACTTTATTATCTCTCCCATCAGCCTGGGGAAGGCGATAAGCAAGCGGAAAATCATGGTCCTCATCCCTTTGCTGTCACCACGAACTGGGGCTACCTGCCATAGTGAGAGGGCTTGTCTCACCACAGCATGCAGATGAGGAAGATGAAGAGCTAATTAGCTCTCACCCCAGCCTGCAAGAAGTTGGCTGCTGGGGATTTACCGGTTCCTCGCCTCGCTGCTGCAGCCCTTATGCAAGGACAGTCTGAGCAATGTGAATCATGGCTGAGATGAGGTGGCTGGGAAGGAAAGGATGCAGAAGACCTTCCCCACTGGATGCATATGTGGCAAGCACATATCCAGCTGGAGGCTGAATACTCCGTTTTACCATTTCAGTGATCCACACTCTAACCCAGCAGGCTTGCGGCTCCTCAGGCATTACAGCTCTCACACCCTTTGAAACATCCCTGCTGTCTCCCACTGCAGGACAGAGACTTTAACCACTTGTAATAGTGGAGTTTTTTTGCTTTGCCTGTTTGGGTTTTTTTAAGTGCTTATCCAGCCCTTTATCACCCATGTATTTAACTTGTATCTGCTAGTGCATGTGTGCATATACACTTATAGGACTTCAGGTGGTGCTAAGTTTCTCTACATTATCTTTCTTCACTGCTTATAAACTTGAGCCCTGTGATTTGAATGCCTATAGACATGCACTACTGGGGTCAGGTGGAGCCACGAAGTCCCAGCCCTGGGTGAGGACCAAGATGACCCTAACTCCCCAGGCAGCCCCTGCTACCCCAGCATGGCTTGCTGGTGAGTCACAGGTTCCAAACTTCCAGTTTCTCTGCTCCCTCATCCTTGGGACATGGAGCATCCTCAAAAACAACAGAAGGGGATAGAAGAAAGTAGCTATACAGCTCCCAGCTCAGCCCAAATGGGAGCTGATCCAAAAGAAAGATGCCTCTATGAGGGTACCCAGCTCCCATGAACATCTGGATTCAGCAGTAGCTACTTGCTAGCAACTCTCTGCAAAGGCAAGACCCAGCCAGGGCCAAATCCTGAATTCGGCTACTGCACACCCCCGTCCAGCCCCAGCATGGGAGTCCCTGCCTTGGCTAAAGGCAGGACGCCACATTTTCCAAGCTCCTGGGGAAACCTTTCCCCCAAAATGGCCAAGGACCACCTTGAGGGTGAGGAGAAGCTCTTCTGCTACTAGACACTCACACAAAGAGTGAAGAGATGGCAAAAAAATACACACAATTGGCCATTGTATATAGCCCCTACTCTTTGCCTAGCACGTTAGGTACACATATTTTAGTCTGAAAAAGTCTAAAAAAAAAAAATTCTGGATAAACCATATTTGACTAATGATAAATGACAAAAAGCAGAGCAAAACAGCTGTGTCTCTCCTGGTGATGATCAGCACACATTTTTAAACAGATGTTTCTGGTTTTAAGTAAATTCTCACTTGATGGATTTTTTTTTTTCTGAGAACACAACATCCATCAGATTAGAAATTTTTAACACTTCTGACCAGCAGCATGTAACCCTCAAGTGAAGAGGGACTTTTTTTTAAGATGCATGGAAGTAAGTAATACTTCCATAACTAATTACATCTCTTTAAAAAAACAAGAAAAAATCCTTTCAAATCAGTACCTGAAAATGTCAGTATAATTAAACTGTAAAATTTATGTTCTCACATAAAACCTGAAAATAAAAATACAGTTTGCTGTTAGCCTGCAATCTATCATCGAAATTCCAAAATACCACCTGCCCAATTACAAATTGACAATTAATGGCACTTTTCCTGATAAAGGAAGCAGAGTGATGCATTTAACAGTGTCATGGGCTGGGGCTGTCAGAGCTATTTCCTATGTTAGGTTATCTTCATCATGCACTTAATTTCCTGCAGCTAAACGTGGTTAAAGGAAAAAGTCACCAAGCAAATGGTGTAGTGGCAAAATCAAATCTGGTTGCCGCAAATAAACCTTATCCATTTGAAAAGGCCCAAACTATCTCATCTAGCCAGCATCACGCGGAGGGGAGAAGAGCCCCTCCACAGGGGTCAAAAAGAGAAATAAAAGGTCTTCATGCAGTCTTCCTACCAAATATACACTGGTGTAGTTCCCTCAGAACGAATTTTCCACAAACCAAAAACTTATTCCTATTCCTTTCTATGCCATCATAAATCTAACTGTAGTCTTCCTAAATACTGTAATGAGACATGGTTGTTTCAAGGCGGGCTCACAAAACCTGGTGTTAAGGCTGTAGAAAACTTGCTCAATGTAACTCCGTCCTACATAAATCAGATTACAAAACAGATGAATAGTGATTTATTTTGCATACACCAGATACACAATATGATTAAATCAAAAACAGATTATCCAGTCTGGCTGACTTCTGCCTTTAGCAGAAAGATTTATCAAGTTACAAAAAAAAAAAAAAAAAGATACTAACCAGCACACTGGAATATAGACAGGGAGGAAACAAAGCCAAAAACTTCTACTAAACTTTGCAAAGGTGTTTAAGCCCCATTTTCATGACTGCTATGCATTTGGGAATTAAATCACCATTGCTTTCTAAGCTACTAGATGCACAAGGCCACTTGAAAAAAGAGACTTGCAAGCATTTTTGTCCTTAACTGGGCTGCTGCGCAAAGGGTGTCAGAACAACTGCCAGTCCTGCTCGTTGGCCAAGTACCATAGCATGGAGTCATCTACCCCAGATAGCTGCCTGACAGCGGCACAAGCCCCTGCCTGGAAGAGCGAGCTGGAAAGTGTGTTTCAGCACCCAAAGTAGAGCAAGTGACTTAGAAGGAGTGTGGCTGAGACTGGGCGCCCTGCACTAAACTTATTTTTTTGAGCAGGGAATGTTTCTTTAGAAACAAAAACACAAACTAGAGAAACCACAGGGCTGCTGAAACTTTTACCAGGCTGCTAGCCTGCCCCCGCTCCAACTGTGCACCAAATGCAAATATGGTTACAATTTATTATTTATTACCCCAGTCTCACATCGAAGCGGATGCCTGTTAAAGATCCTCGTGTGTTTTCCGGAAGAGTAAGAAAATAACAATGATGCCTACATGTCCACCAACTCGACTGTGGTCAGAAAAATATACCTGCTTTATATTTCACCTTTGAGTTAACACGGGTAGATTTTGTTCCTTTTTTTTTTTTTTATTTTTAATTTCCTGTCTGACAATTGAGCAATCTGGCTGTGAGCTGTTAAAATAGATGCTGCGTCCCACCCCAGACTTGGCTGTATTTTGCTGGCATGCAGAGCAAGTAGCTCCTCCATGGAGTGCATGCGGCGCACTGGAATTCTTCACGCTGAAGTCTGAAAATGCGAGTCGTCATCATACTCCCAGATAATACTTAACACTACTGCCCTAAAATGTCACATTCAGAAATCGATTTGCACGGGAAATTTTGCATTTGTTGGCTTAGCTAAAGAACAAGAAAACACTGCCACAGGAATGGAGATAACAAGTGGCTGGCATCGCATCTCTGCTCGTTCTGAATTTAGAATCACGCGGTGCTAAAACAAGCTGGTGAAGGAAGGCCATTAATAAGATGCTCACAGGGGCGTTTGAATGAAGTGAAAAACAGTCGGGAGAAAGCGTGGGGAGGATTAAATCAAACAAATAAAAATCAGTTTACTGAGACAGGCTTCCAAGCAGTCTTCAGCCTTATGGTACAGCAACCTAATGTGATCAAAAGCCACTGCTACCTGATGGCAAACTGAACTTGTTAAAGCATCTAAATATCCCCATCCAGCATAAGTATATCAGGAGAGGGAAAAAGGCTAAAGGCATTGTGGGTTCCTCCCTGTTCACTCCTTCTGCCCCTCAATTAACACTAAGAAGTCCCAGGAGATGGTCACTGACACAAGTCCCTATTTCACTGGTTCTTGCACAGACAGCTCTGCTTTTGCTTTGTCTGAGGAACTTCCTTTTGCTTGCCATAAACGCACAAGTTTGCCACGAACACACAGGTCAGCAAATCCGGTGCTGCTGCGCCGGTGACTATCTCAAGATATCTGGCGTCCTTTTCCACTTTCAGAAAACCCCAATTTCTTGAGAAACTCAACTTCTCCCAAGTAAGGTTGTCCTCCATCTCATGATCTGGACCAAATCATCTATTTAAAAGGAAAAATAAAAGCATCAAGAGCATCTTAAAGGTCCACAAATCAAAAGAAAGAGGAGAAAAATACACAACAGTCTAAAAATCACTATTCTTAAAGAAATCATGTGGTCTGGGGCCTCAATGAATGATTTTTGCATGCTTGAGCTTAATACTGTCACAGTCACAGAAGTGGAATCCAAAAAATCCACAAAAAATAAACAAGCCCATTGATGCAGAGAAAAGTCAAACATGCTTTTGTAACTGGTAGACAGGTATCAAGCCATACATTCTCTGGGTGCAAACTACAGCCTCCATATGTAAAACTATATGACCCTGTGTCTGTGAGGTCAAGAACATACATGTATATTTTGAGGTTGAGACTGCAGCTGAAGAAAATGTGGCTTTCAACGGTTAAAAAAAAATTAACTGCACAAGAAAATATAGTAGGGAGCTTTTATAAGCCACCTGGAACTGTGTGTCTATTTCTGGAAGCTCCTTTTGGTGTGGTAGACCTCATACATGCCATATGCCCAACCAACCAACCCAACCATTTCTCTTCCCCCTCCCCTGAAAAAACACTACGTTTAATGAAAACTCAAGTGTTACAAGCCAACGCACTTGGATTAAACTGATGACACTTGAAGTAGCTACAATGCATTACTTTCCAATGAGTAAGAAACTGTCTCTAGGAAATTTCAGGTTGTGTTTAGTCAAATACAGCAGCTAAAGAGGAAGTCATAAAAAATGTGTAAGATACTCAGAAATCCGGCACTTTCGTGAGTGCCTACGCTTTTTGTTGTAATATAGGATTTGGGACATGCTAATGAGCGGGTGAAAAATAAAAATGGGATTTTAGTTTTGGAAATAGTCAGTAGCACTGCACCCATACCCAACAGCAGAAGTCCAGTCCTGTACTTCCATTGTGGCTTTGCCATTTTTGCCTATGAGAGATTCTGCATTACACAGTACTGATGAGTGATGGAGAAACATCACAGAAAGGGACACAACTGAGACAGCAAGTGCTTGAGAAACAGAGCATCACCTGCTCATACAGTAACTGCCCGGTAGAGTGCTTCTTTTTAAATTGCTTGCTACATTAACTATTAAAGCAGGACTACAGACAGAAACTTGTGCATTTGAGTGAGACAGCACAATGCATAAATACCGAAATAAAAAAAGACCTTGAAACTAAAAGCTAAAGAAGAATTTCAGAAAGACCATCCCTTGACTCTGTGTAACAAGTTACCTACAGTAGCTTTTGAGTCAGACTGGCACATTTAGGTACCCCTTTTTGGTCTGGAAAAAGTACGATTCCCATCACTACCTCAGGGTTTGTTCCAAAGCTTCCCCTGAAAATCTCTGCTTGATCTACATATTTTCTACATCCAAAGACTTGGCCCCGGGCTGCAACTGAAGCACCACAGACAAATGCCCAGCAGAGGTGGGTTGCCCTGTGCAGCTTCAGCCTCAGCTGCTGGGTCAGGCTCTGCCCTCCCGCCCCATCTTGTGATCCTCCCATGCAGGAATAGAGACACATGTTCATAGTCCTTGAGGGGGACGTGTGAGCCAAAACTTTGAGAGGTCCACAGCCTGGGGACTGGGCTGAGCCTCTGAGCTCACAGTCCTCATAAGCAACCAAGAGAAGCATGAGGCACAGAAGGACCATGTTTCTGTTGAGGCAGGCATTATTTTATCATATACTCTTATTATTCCCTTGCTCCAGGATTTGAAGAGGCTAAAGTGGAATGAGCTTTAATTACAACAAATGAAAAACATCATCAAATTTTTAGAATACAAAAAAGCAGTTTCCCTTTTAGACTGATGCCCGCTATAAAACCCCAGGAAAGGAGGTATCACCCAGCTGACAGTCTGCCTGAGCCTGCTCCCTCCTGCCCTCAAAGAGATGGGAATGCAAGAGAGGGAGGGAAAGGTGTCAGTGATTTTCCAAGGCACGCTGGCTTTTTATGAAAATTGTACCGCGTATTCAGGAAGAGACAGAGGAGGTAATCAAATCTGGTTATCTCGTAATCATTATGACTGGGTAGATTTTGGAGCCCGAGTTGTTTGTTGGAACCCACCCCTCCAGCCCTCGCATTTGAAATAGAACAGATGTGTAACATAACAGGAAAAAAATCCAGCTCTGTTGTGACAAATTCTTAACCAATTTTTTTTTAAAGATTTAAAATAACATAGTTTCTAGTGCGTAGGCTGTGATCCTGTTGACGTCCGTGCTCAGTTGCCCAGCACTTTCATATACATAAAATGAGAGGTATTTTTGGTGGAAGGAAGCACGGTCAGTGTATCTGATTGGTAAAATAACTTAAAATCACATTTCGACAGTAACTTCCAACTGCCCTAGAGCACGAGTTAATGAGATCACATGGAAACATATTGCAAACCAGGAAACATATTTTATACAAGACCAAAACAGTGGAAAAAAATGTTAAAATACACAAAGTAGTGGGGCTCAGTTTTGTACGCTTCACCTTTCTTGTTTGTGTTAGCGCACAGGCATGCCGGGTGCCTCCTGACGGACTGCAGCAAAAGCACCTATGGGCCGCCTGCTGCAAGGGAAAGATAAAAGCCTGTTTGGTCAAACTGTCCTATTATTGCCCTTGAAGTCTTCAGCAAAAAGCAGCCCTCCAACGCAAAAGCCAACAGCCAGCCTCTCTGATGAACACAGGCTACTTGGCACTTCAGTGGGAGAACATAAAAGGCTTTTTTTTAAGGACACAGGAAGGCTCTCTGAAGGGTTTTCTTGTTTTTAAAAGTCTCTATCCCAGCTCCAAAAGGTAGCAACTGCCTAGCTCTTGATGGCTCGGCGAGACTCAAAGGAATTGCTGCATTTCCCAGAGCTGAACTGAGCCAGGGTCCTGCAAGAAACTTGGGCAACACAGAAAGAAAGAGGAGAACGATGAGGAAGGGGACCGCAGCACTACATGCTGTAATACAAAGGGCCATGGATCACTCAATCTCAGCTTCGGTAGGCAGCATGTGGCAGAGAGGTACTGGCTCGAGAAAGTGAGATGGGCAAGGCTGAAAGCCAAGGAATGTATCACTAAGCAAAATATTACAGTTACATGCCCACTTCTTTTATTTTGAGAAAGACAACTTTGCTGTCAAAAGCAAGAAGGCAGGTGTGCTTTGGGAAGAAGACAAGAAGGGGTGGCCATCACAACCAGGAACTGGGAACAGCCTACAAACTTCTGGATAGCCAAACTCTTTTCCTGCGCCACATGATTCTGTGTATACAGCCTTTAGAAGACTTCAAAATAAAGACCATAACTGAGACGGAAAGAGCAAGCAATGGATGTAACTCAAATTCTGGCTATTCTGTGGTGCTTCCTATACGGAGTCCTCTTGTGAGGATAAATGTGACCAGTACATTTGAGTATTATCAGCTGACAAATAAGGTTTTCTTGTTTAAACATAAAAATGGTTGGGAAGCAGGAAAAAAAAAAAAATCACTGTCCAACATAGATAGGAAGAGAAGATTGATAAGCAGCTTTCAGATGAAGTGAAGTAAAAACTGAAATAATGCCCAAAAAACCCATATCCCTATTCAGTTTGTATTCACTGCCTATAATGTGTAAATGTACAAGGCCCTGTAACAGCCACAATAGTGAGACCATGTCTTTGCCCTGCAATAAAAACATACTAAGACACAATGAATTATTTAATTAAAGCCACAGGTTTGATGGCACCAAATTGTCCTACTGCCTGATGAGCTTCTGAATACCCCATTTCCAGTCTGCCCGGGCTAAGGCTTATCCCCTGGGAGGAAGATAACCAGCTACAGCCCACACAGGGCTAGCTCTTTAAACCTTCAAGGCTTTACTCGCGGTCACACCACACCAACAACAGAGGCAGCATCACAAGATACCGCTAAGTGGAATGAGTGGATGGGCAGATTTGGCAGGAAGCAGAGACAGGAAGGGGAAGAAGGAAAAAAAAAAAAAGCGTGCAATAAAGATATTATCAGGATTGCCCTCTAAATTGGGTTTCCTTACCTCATGTAGGATGTCGGAGACAGAGACTTTGGTTTGGCCCACTGGTAGGGATGCTGTGGCACGGACAGGTACTGCTCACAGAAGTTTCCTTTCCTGATGTGCTGAAAGCTGGAGAAGTCTTCTGGTGACAAATCGGCAGTTGGCGATATGGTCCCATGATCCTCGCCAGCCGGTTCAGTTTTGAGAGTCATGGACGGGGTGTGGTCGATGGCGGTCTTCCTCGACTTGATGGGAATCCCGTCGTTCATATCTATGGTGCTGTCGGTGGTGAGGGCATTGATGGCAGCGACGATGGCGGAGCTGGTGTACTGGTTGGTGTTCCCCAGCCACGTCTCATCCGTGACACTCACCCGTGGCGAGTTTTGCGGAGAAGGCGTGGGAGAGTGGTGTGGGGAGTAAGAGGTCTGCCGGCCATTGATGCTGTACTTTCTCTTGTTGCAGGGAGATGGAGGCCTGGAGTTGCGAGCCCCCAGCCAGTTCTCCTCCGTGATGCTCGTCCTGGGAGATGTTGACGGAGAGTGCCTCGGGGAACTGAGCAAAGTGCAGGCCACCATGCTGCGCTGATAGCCCTCCTCCGTGTCGGTGGTCTTCGGAGAGACACATGGGGACTGCCACGGAGAGGTCTGGGGTGAAGTGTATGGATACGAGTAGTTGGACTCATAGGAAGACGCTTCGGAGTTGCAGCTTCTGGAAGACAAGCTACTCGCTGGACTCAGGCAGGATGGGTCTCTGTACGCCTCAATGTTCGGTAAGTTCAGAGTGGCAGTGGAAGGCGACCGTTTGGCATTTGGGATGGCCTCCTCAACCTCATCATGGAAAAACTGGTTGTTGTTATGATGAAGTCCCATGTAGGAAGTGATCTCAATTCTAGGGCTCTCCAGCGCTGGAGCTCCATTAGGTCTGATGTTTGGTGGCAGGTAATACTCGGAGGCCCCGCTGTCGATGTGTCCTCCGTATCCAGAAGGATGATTTGTCGATGGGACAACTGAAATGACGGGATTTGATGTCTGAAGGCCATGACATGGAGTTGACAATGAGGAATGTGCCACATTTAGAGGCAAGCCAGCATTTACATTTGAAGATGTATAATTATAGTGTTCTGGAAAAAACAAACAAGAATGATATGAGGTGCTGCACAAATATACTCACTTAGTAACATACCCAGCTGGAGTAGAGGGACATGGCACAATACACAAAAGCACAGCTCTCCTTAACAACCCAGGCCACAGGCGTGCCACACTAGGGGAGAAACTGCAGACTAGCATCCTTGAAAATGCCACTAACTGAACAGCACAAGACAAGCTATCTTGGGAGGGGGGCGTACACAGACTGAGTTTGTCTTGAGGACACTCTTCTTATGTGAACTTTCAGAGCAAAAAAATCTGAGTCTTCAAACAATGTTGCTTCAGTGTTCAGCAACTGCAGTGCTGTTCAAGAGATATGCTTTTATGTAAGTGAGCCTAATCCCTCACTGAAAAGTTGGAATACACAAAAACACAGGACAAAAACAAAAGTGGAGGCAGACTAAAGCGAAGAACATGATCAACTGCATTCTGTTAAAAAAATTATACACAACCAAAATTTCCATTACAGCAAGTTTCCAACTGGTTCCAGTTAACTCAGATTTTGGAACAAGATGGATCTATTGACCTGCTCTGGTTTCTGGGACCACTTATCCTCCAGCCCAACTGGCAGAGGCCAGGTGAAGGATAAACATGGATGTCTCACTGCTCTGCGACAGCTTAAATTCCAGTGAAATTGCTGGTTACTACGTGCGCCACGTCAAGAGCTGCCAGCAGCGTGCTCTCAGCCAACGGTCTAACCCTTTAACAGCTCCAGGTGTATAAAAGTAATAGCAGAGTTGCACAGTCGGTGTGGAAAACCTGCGAGGTGAAGATTACACCACAGTCTTGCACTGATGGGCTCCCCGATCAGGGAAGCAACCCGCCCTTTGTGTGCCTCCATCTCTGCTCCGCTACCGGGACCAGCATCTCAAAGCTGGTCTGGAGGAGAGACCATCCCTGCCTCACCTCACTGTTGGCCTGCTGAAGGGACTCCTTCAGCTCCCCTCCCCTGTCCTGGGGCTGCACACGTGTCACTCTTTGCCACCCAGAGACACCAGTAGGCTACATGTGGGGAGATGGGCAGCCCTCAACCAAGGGCAATGTCCTGATCCTGTGGTGGGATCAGATGTCATCCACCTTGAGCTTTGTGATATAGGGAGGCTCTGCATCACCAGCACACGTGGGCCTGAACCCCCAGTGCCAGTACTTCTTGCCATACTGGGAAAAGGCAGCAAAACCTTTCTATCAGGGACAACAGTCACTGCACTGTGAGTCTGAGTTTTGCAGGTTCCTCTCAGCAGGCTGGAAATGCACCTGGACCCAACTCCAGCCCCAACCTGTGCCTGCAGAGCATCAGCCTTCCCTGAGGTTTATTACAGCAGTGGCACTTCTCTGCAGGACTCTGCATACCCCCTGGCCACAGCCGATCCACACAGGGAGCTCATCCCCTTCCCTCCCAGGAGGCAAGCTCCCTTGGCCATCAGCCTTGCCCACCTTCTCTGGGGAGACAGGGAAAAGCTGGGTTAGTTACTGCAGCTGTCAGTCCCAATGCAACCCACTCCCTGCAAGTGCTGCGAATGCAAACGAGCCTCCGAGCTGGTAACACCAGCACAGCCAGCTATTCTCTTTCTTTTGTTTATCAGCTCAGCCCTCTCTGGTGTCATCCTCCGGCGATCCCGTGCTCGCCTTTCTCGCTGGCAACGACTCCAAGGTAAACGGTACTTAGGAAAAATTAATGTGCTGTCGTAGTTTCACAGCAACTCTGTGATGTTCCAGCTGATGTATGTCATGTCAAGTAACAGTCAGGAACGATGAGCAACAACACCTTTTGAACTCACTCTCTAGTCTGCCTTCAGAGACTGGCCATTTACTGAGGAAGGGTCATTAAATTACACAAGAGCGTGCCACAAATAAAACTGGATTATTCAAAGCATGCTGGAGCTTCACACTCTATTCAAACAACAAGGCAGGCAGGAACTATGGAGAAAGAGGTGCTAGTTTGACAAGGATAATCTGACTGCAGAGGTCACAGTGAGGTGCAGATCTGCCTGGGTGATTAGAGACCGGTCCTTCCAAAATTAGTCCCCTTTTGCTGCTGCCCTGCCATGCAGCTGCGCCACTCAGTGTCACCATAACCACCATCACAACCCTCTCACTCTTCATGGAAAAACAACCTGAAGTGGTACAACAGTGCTCAGACCTTCTCTGTTTCAGGAATTATCTCAGAGAAAGGGTCTAAGCAGTGCTTTCAAGGCAGCTTCAACCCCTTCACTTCTTCCTCTAGCTCCAGAGGAAGGCGATGTCCCTGGCACCGCACTGCTGCCGGGACACTGGCTAGGCGCTTCTTCCACGTATGCCCCATGGGCCCTTCCACAGCCTCTTGGCCCAGCGGGTAGGTGGATGACACTGGTGACATGGCACAGATGGACGCCGCTGCCAGCAGGTACCCACAGGGCAGCCAGAAACCCTGGGCAGGAGACTGCGGGCTCCACTGCTGCCTTAGCTCTGCGCCCACCAAGTGGGCTTTGGGAACAGGGTGCGACAGCAGCATCTGCTGACTGCAGAATCAACGCCTTTACATCTTTTATTAAAAATAAACAGGCAAACAAAATAGCAGGGGTAATTATTACCTGCGTGAAAAGTAATGTGAACCCAGCAGTTCTCTTAAAATGCATGACTAGGGTGAAATTCAAACACTGAAGTCTACTGGAGATCCACAGCCCAGGCCATAAATATATATAACAGGCAATATAAAGGCTCAGACCAGCCTTTGGAATCCCATTCAAAGAAAAAATTAGAAAAATTAAAAAAACAGCCTTGAGCGCTCCAAGCAACAAGTACCCCTAATGCACATGGCAAGGAATAGCTTATTTCAGAAATATTATGTGTATTTTTAAAATGTCATCTTTCAAAAGGCCAAGAACAACATGTCATACAACTTCTCACACAATAGTACTCGAAATTGAAAGAAGATCCAAAGCTTTCCAAATATATTTAGGTATCTTAAGTTTTCTGACAGTGTGTAGAAAGTATGCCCAACAAATATAAAATCCCAAAGGCAGAACTAGGAACAGGACTGAGTTCTTGGTTTGTGAGTTAAAAACCATCAGCTACAATTTCTCAAAAAGCACATTCTTCTCCTCAACTTCCGTGCTGATAAAATTCATCACATGCACATACATTGTCACCATTTGTAACATGCTGATGGTTTCCCCACCAGGGTGAATTAGACATGCAGAAATAAAATGCCAGTCTTCAGGGGCAGGAGAGGGAGGTGGCTACAAAGGCATGAAACTGCATTACATAATGCAGCTGTGTAGGGTATTTTGACAGTGCTGATAGGGACAAAAGGAAGGTAATGCTTTAACATGGAGTCATTGTCACAACTGTGATCTGTAGAGGCCCCCAGGACCAGCGCACATACTATCAAGACACTTTCAGTAGTGTATTTTAATATCTTGAGCCAGACCTCGGTTATCAGATAGATCAGGGCAGGTTTGCAACAGTTCTGTTCCAACAAATCCACACTTACGAATCAAGTGTAACTGGGACAAGAAATTGGACCCCTTGATTTGTGAGCACATCTTCACATACTACATTTCACTATGTGACAACATAATTTTTTTTTTTTTTAATCTAGTTAACTTCACAGAGCAAAGGTTTTATTCCTTTCTATCGTTAATGGGCTGATCCTACAAGGCACTGGGCACCACCAGTTTTTATTTACATTCTTTAAATAGGAATGATGAACACCTGCAGCTCTGAGGCACTTCAGAGAAGGTGAGGGCTATTTTACATTGATAAAGATGAAGCCACATCCAGGTCTGTGTTTAAATTCCTGCTTTCAAAACTGCCTGATGGAGTTAGGTACTTTTCTCACTAGGACTTTGACACTTAATTTGCTTAGGCCCCTCCACTTTCCAGGTGTCTAATTACTAGGACACTCACCTGAAAAGTCTGGTGTAAAACTCTTAAAATGACTTTTATTCTAAAAAGTTAAAGACTCCTAGCAACCATTTGGACACTGACAACGTGGTGGAGAGCCGGGCAGTCGGGGAGCATTAAGGAAGGGGAGCACTATGCCTTCACCTGCATCCTGGCAGGCAGCGATACACAGGCAAGGACTTGTGAACCTGCTTCAATTTAACAGCGAAAGATGAAGCACAGACACAGAGACAGCCTTACTCTGAGGCGGTGTTAAACCGCCTACTTGTATGAGAGCTTTCTATGGTGGCCAGCTATCGCCGCCGCCGTAGCAGTCAACCTCATACCAGGAAACATCAACTTTCTCCCTCTCCCCATCAATTCCTGATTTGTTCGCCTCATTTCCACCTCAAGCATTGTTAAAAGCCATTTAAAAAAACCCCACCAAACAGCCAGACGGAGACACCAGAGCTGGAACGGTGTGACCCATGATGAATTCAGGCCCGTTATTTTTACAGATGGGTGACCTTCAAGCTAAACCCTGAGCCTAAGTAACTCCAGCTCACAGCGGGAAGAGGAGGGGGTGGCAGAAGTGGTTTCTGAACTGGCCCATCTTTGTCACGGGCAAGCCCCAGATGCCCACTTGTATCCCCCGGGGGTGTGGGGAGCAGTAGGGACTGTGCGCTGGGGTAGCCTCGGAGAAGGGCGAGGGGGCAGCCGTGCGAGCGGGCAGCGCGGGGCTTTGGAGACCTCAAACGATCCCGAAGTTCCAAACCTGAGGCCCCGTCTGCCTCCCGAGCCGCCTCCCTTTGCCGGCTCCTCCGGGCACCGCCAGGGAGAGCGCCGGCCGCCGGGGCAACATTTCCCCCTCGGCCGCCGCGGCATCGCTCGCCTCTTCCCGGTGCTGCCGGGACCGCCGGTTTCCCCGGCCCCAGCCGCGCTCCCCCCTGGGGCGAGGGGGGATA